ATGTAACGTATATCTTTATCTTGCAAGTAGATTCTAGGTCAAGCCTGGCTTATGCTGCACAGCAATACAATACAAAGTATTAAATAGCCTACCGTAGCGAAAACTCAATATTTAGACTGTTTATCGCTTGAATCACACCACTAACCCCATTAGGAAAAACGAGATAAACCCTGTCAAATTTGCTTCGCAGATGACCATAAAACGCGTAGTCGAAAACGAGTATAGTCGATCAGTTATGCAACAAGATGAAATTCCCACTTGAAAAGGGAAATTATCAACGCACCATTCCTGACAAAGTTAAATATGTAACAAAATCGGTTGCGACACCATGAAATTTCTGCGGATCTGATTTCGCTTCGCCTTCAAAGCAGTTATGCTTATATTCCTATGAGGACTGCACGAAGTATAATAAAAATCACGGCACAAACGTTCTCCCAAGGTCGATCGAATACCACTTTCGACCGTCCAATGCGGAATGAGAAACACTAATTAATGAAGTATTTGGAGAAAAATCCAATATTAGGCTACATCCATGCACAATATAATAACCTATAATGCGAGTTGCTGACGAAGTAGTCAATCCGCTATAGTGAGCGATGACGCAACTTGACACATTGGTGCGTTAAATGGTTTGACAGAGTGTGAGTACCGTTTGCGGAAGCACGCGTGCACAATTATAAAGACAACAAAACACAGGACCTTGCTGTGGACAGGCTAAAGCAATAATATACTGAATGCGTGGGAGAACAAGTTTTGTCATCCCGGTTTTCTTTATCATCAGTTTCTGCGCACCAGAGCGATACCCTACAGCTATAATAAACACGGCGTTTATCAAATTTGGCAAGCAAACAGCAGCTTGCTTGCCATGATACGACCTTTTGTGAATGATTGAATTAAGAGTAAGTGCAAAGCGCATTAATATCCGGCCCATTTATCAGAGCTAAAGTACAATACTCTTGACACAAAAAAAGCGTGCCGTTCTGGTTGCCGGCAGCTTATCGCATTTTCTACTTATAAACGAAACTTTTCATTAGCGAACGCTGTATCCAATATCAGCCCGATTTCAATTCAATATTTTCAATTACTCTTAACGATTTTCAATTCCAGTCAAGTATTTATTTGTGCAATTATGTTTAAAATATCTTAGATATTTAAAACGTGTATGAATGGTACTTGGTTCACCAAGTCACCTATACTCAATATTATACTCTACTAATATTCTGCAGTGCGGCGCTGCGAATGCCGTCAGATTTTCATGTACTGTTTCAGTCAAAACATAACCACGAACAAGTAGGTTACCAATCACTATCTGTCTTGCACCTCTATGAATGAATTTTAAAAATGGCACGTTTTAGCATTACATCAAACACTAACACGTCATCTATCGAGAAGCCCTTAAGCCTATGATCTCGTTTATCTGAGCGACCTCATAGCACGACCGCATGCTGTTAAATGAATTTAAATTTGTTCAACTTTAAATATATGTAAACGTGGCTGATCTACTATTCAACCTACTGTTTATGCAGCACAATAAAACACTGCCTGTCACGGTCGAGATATATTACCCGACTACACGACAAAGTTTTAAAGATATCTTGCGGTTTAGACGAAAGGATGTTTCACTAATGCAACGGTTTATTTTTATTTTATTTTTCTCTTTTCGGTTTCTGAAAGATTGGATTCGCGTTTGGGACGATCAATTTTAACCCAATTATGGAAACATTCTGACTAATCGGTATAATTACTCGAATCGGGATGTAAATCATTGGGGCATTGAATCTTGTTAGTCAGCGATTTTTGAGCCATGTTTATAGGTACTGTGCATGAATAATAATGATATATTCAATACACATGTTTATTCCAGTATCATAATTCAGTTTCTCTTTATGACAACAGTGCAATAAAAGTAGAAATTGAGTGTCTTATATTAGGCTACAATCGAGACGACATCGAATAAAAATCCCACACAAATTTAAAATACGGGCAACAAACCTTTCAGGTTTCTTAACAAAAATCTCCTTCGATTTTCTTCGATCGTCTTCTGGAACTACCGCACTAAGAGTCTTTCCACTTCCGCGTTTCCCAAGTTTTTTACGGTTCAAATTCGGCGACAAAGCCGCCCACCATGACCCCGATTTGGATCCGATCTCTGTATCCGGGGACAACAGTTGGGGTAAACTTTTAGGTCGCTTCTTGAAGCCTCCGTTTGATTTCATCATCGAAATGTCCTCCGATCTAATCCGATTGACGGCCATGTGTCCGTTATTTCTTAATCGTAATCCAATTTCCATTGTGATTACGCATGTATATAACCTTTTAGACACCCTTATCCACAACTTGAAATCGCTAATTTTTCGAAATCGATTTATTATATGTCGTATAGTAGCAGTTCATATATATTGCACCTTTTGAAGACAATAGTTACAACAAAGTAAGTATATATCTTTAATATTATAAAGTCTATACTTGACAACGTAAAAATTCCCGGGTTGCCTGGCTTCAACTATTATACTACCTTTACCTCCTATAAGAGGATTTTATAGAAATTAAGCTCAGGTTTAGTCAAATTTAATCGGGCAATACCGATGACTATCTTTATGTTACTCTTCATAATAAATACATCCGACTCGCTGCTATCATTTCATTCGATGCAATATTTACATAATATTTAAAGTTAGATTGTTGTGGCGTAACTGAAACAAAAACTTCTGCCTATAATGTCATTTACTCCGGAGAAGACAATAATACATCAATTGCAATTTTCCAACCCGACTTTTCGTTCAGCCTGTTGGCAAACAAAACAAAGTTGAGATTTCGTTGTCGTAGAAAACACAGTTTGTTATTTTACGGCCCAAGGCATTAAACGAGGGCGCTATTTTTCGCGTTACATCGTTATAATCTGGTTCATGGTCGAGTGCGGTCATAGTTTACTAAAGTTAAAAGTCGTAAAACGAATTTTGCGGGTTAGTGCACAGGCAAATGTGTAAATTGTATCGTATTTTAACATGGGTAGTGCATGGGCTTTGCCAATAAAAATCCATTTATCTGGTGCGAATCTTATTCTGAAACTCTATAATAAAGTTTATAAAACGGTCGTCGGGTCAATCGGGGACCTTCTAGTAATGAAAGTATGGGAAATCTATTTAATCATGTATGTATCTGAAAGATTTATGAACAACGGCCTCATTAATATTTAGTAGATAAGACTTAAATGACTTCATAAAGTAATTATATCACAATCAAAGTACATTTCGTCACTAATTGACCCATACGCTGGGAAATTAACCCCAATGGACACGGAATTGAATCGCCACATAGTTTATGCCTTTCCCAATATTATATTGCAGAAATAACTTTCCACTTATTAACATCCCGTCAAAAGTTTAAGGTTGGCCAAATTGTTTTAACTACTGAATTAGACTAAACAGGTTGAAATCTGAATAAATTATGGGAATATATATGAAACGTCACGCAACTTTTATCCCGTGATTGGTACTAATTTAGACATTTCCAGAATATTTTGTATGACTCAAATACGTCCGCGAAATCATTTTAAAGCATATTCTCTTAAGGTCATGGTCATGAGACCCCAAATCAAATTAAAAAGATCGCTGACAGAAAAATCGCAAGAACTGTCTTTGCGTTGTATCGATATTCATTCTTCTCACTATCCTTACTATTTTGTTTAAACTTTATAATGCCAGCCTAGTACTTTTTCCACCTAAATTAGAATTCAGCTTCGAAATTATTAGTCAAATATATATCTGAGAAGATACCATGTGTCTTACTGACGTATTGTTTACCTTCATTTGTTCGACGACTCAACATTGGAAAAGCTTCAAGTTTGAAAACATACCTAACAAAAATAGAAACGCAAAGGAGAAATGCCTGTAACAGTATACTGTTCAAAATTAGCCAGAAATTATCAAAACCCTATTATCTTTTCACGCATTAGCTTATACCCAGAGAAAATTTTCTATCTTAAGTATCGCACTTCACTTGAAATGCTGCAAGTCATAACCGTAAAGGTTCAAATATGGACTGAAAGCTGAGTCGAAAAGCACTAAAATTTCCAATTTTTCATACAGTATATCTCTCGTCCTAGCAATTCAGACGTTTGGTCTTTTTGATCGAAAATTCATATGCAGTTTATTTTTATATTTATAACTATCGATCGATAATGAACTTTCAGCTTCGGGCGTTAGTAAAAGAAATGCCACACATTAGTACTGAAGTGTTTGAAATTTTCGACAGTTTCTCCTTCCTTGAGACGCATGAGGTCCATTCAGTAACTGTATAACGCTATCTTGATAATCTTATCTCCATTTTAATTATAAACAAGTGTTAACAAATAACAAGGATAGCCTGTCAACATCATATACCCTGCGATCTTCGCAAATTCCGACATGTTTAAACTGTCACGTAACTAATGTACTTGAGTTAATGTTTCACGGCATTTTTGTTGCAACTACTTGATTCGTCTGACGTAAAAAACAACGATCTACAGACTAACTTATCTGAAGTAACTTGTTTGTGCGCAACCAACCGTGAATTGTTGAAGTCACTTGATTGGTTAACGTCTTCATAATGTCAAATATACGAACGAAATCTTGCCCTGTTGTTCATATTGCAGTACTCCAGATTGCTGAAGACAACTTTTCAGTAAACAAATATAGGCTCAAAATGCAGTCTAAACTGCGCAGTCAAAAACTGAACTTCCGCATCCGAATTCCTGAATGTCAGCTACATATGAAAGATATGCTTTGTATGTCACTGTGCCAAAGGACTGACGGGGCGTCCATGCCAAACCTTTTTTGCTTTTCCTTGAAATCGTGGCATGAAGGCGTTTTCAGTCGCCACGACGAAACAAAACGTTCTCGAGGCTACAGCGCCGAGGTGTAATTACTTCAAAGATACCATCGATTATATCAAATTACTAGCTTCAATTTTAGCAGAAAAAGTAAAATTGAACAAAAATACAGTAAAAATATTGAACTCACCGACTTGTCTTTAACGTAAGTGCTTGGTCGCACCTGAAATTAAAAATTAACACATTATTTTTATAGGATAATTTCTAGTTTACCCTAAAAAGACATAGTTTATCTACCTGATGACGCATGTAATACAAAACTACATAAAAATAAAAATCTTACACTTTATCGTCAAAAATCATCGCTGCTTTAGGCATCGATAGTAGATTTAAACAAACGTTTGAAAAATAAGATTACAATATTTCCCAGAACTGAACGATACACATATATATTTCAGTTAACTTTTGAGGTGTCAGTGAATATTGCTAACCAAGTGCGTTTGAGCTAGACGTTGCAATTGATCCCTCCCTATCGCTGGCCAGCACTTGATTTAGAAACACAGTTTAAGCTAAACCTGTCTCGATAATACTCGGTAAACTGCTACCAGCTAAATCTGAAGCGACGTAATTTAGTTCCGGTGCAGTAAGCATGCCACCGACAACTTTTTGTTGCACTAAATATCATATATCTTACTATATACTTGTCATATTGAATATTGATAATATATCCGACCTGAACAGAACACATTACTCAGAACGGCATTTTTTCTATGATATTTCAAGTAAGTTGGCGCGATGCTAACTATGACATAATGGCATTTCAATGTATTTCCAAAATCGATGAAAATAGACACGCCATTTTGACAAGCACAATCAATTATACTATCTAATCGAGACTTTTATTTTATCTACAAACACATTGTGCACAGTGACAAACGTAACATATAAAACTGCAAAATGACCCATGTTTGTATCGCGCGACATCGGCCCATCACGCCCAGCCAATCAATCCATCCGTTCGAATGAAGAATGGCGTCATCACGATCTAATGTTTTCTTGTATTACAATATACAATTGAATATCAAATAGGCATTGGAAGAATTAATAACATAGTAATCATAGTCATTAGCAGTTTCGACACAACCAGACGGTTTAGCATATGCATATTGAAACTTAATGACAATTTTGCATATAGCATTTCCATATATGAAATTTTTTTGTGGGATCGGAAAATAAGTCGTCTGACGCTAGTTTTGACAAACTGAACACAAACAGCTGTTTTCGATTCAACAGAAACTAATAATTTGACATGTTTGAACAAATAAAAGGCAAAATCATGTACGATGCGATGATAAATGAATGTGAGACAGAAAAGCGTATTTTCAATTGGATTATCAATGAAATAGTTTTATTATCTATCACATACTTTTTGCCTTGCCAAATTTTGTGATTGTATCCCCATTCATAATTGAACATTTTATTACACGAGCTTTGACCTTTTACGGCCAAATTTCTCAGCTTAATAGTTCATGGCCAGTTTTGATAAATTTCAGAATATATCGCAATTTCCTAACAATTTGACTTGTGCAAGAAATTACACATAAGTGTCAGTGAAGACCTAAAGTCTGAAAATCACTGCGCCAATAGAATGAAATGGACTTCACCACACACTGTGTGTGTAGGACACTACTATATGATCAATTGTAAAAACCATAGACAGACAATACTAACGGACAATTCTTAGAAACTTGATAATACTATCAACAATTTTGTTTGAATTTCTATGAAATGTATATGAAAATTCGACCATTTACAAAATTACAAAAAAGTCATTATGATGCTGAAATATCCAAACGGAAGTCTTATAAAGATTGCCATGACATGATTATTCACATAACTATAAATCGTTCTATCTATACCGCCAATAATTTAGGCAATGAGCCCATTCTGCAATCTATAGTATTTCTTCAAGTCTGAAACGTATGCAAATTTAATCGACTTCAAAAGGAAGTTTACCAAATTATTCATGAAGCATTTCAAAAATGTACTAATTGATTATCGAAAATGATCAAAAACAAATTTTTATACTTTCAAAATTAAATTTAAACTATTTAAGGTGTTTTATGGTATGGACCAAGCCTCCTTGGAATAATCCACTTGGACATAGACAACTGCGGCCTAAAGTGTATCACACTTTCTTACACCCGCTGTAAAGTAGTGACTTTAAGTTGACTACATATGAAGAATGGCAAGGACTCGAACAGGGGTGTCTGACTCGCAATTCAGCATATACTTAGGCCAGTAATAACAGCTTAAACGATTTTTAGCGATTGGTTACTTATTACCATACAACCGGAACGCAATATTGCTTGAAGGAGCAACAGCAATCAGTATCGTGAAGGCGATCTATAAATAGCAAACTAGGTTTTTTCATCAAGAATTAACGGCTATTGATTCGATTGATCACAGCTAACTTCCCGTCTATGACCAAATACAACAAGTGACATTTCACGAGACATCAAGTTGAAAAAATATATTTATTCAGCTTAATCAAATATCACAAAGTTACGAAAGAATTTCAGTCAAGATAACAAACTGATGTATCATGACAAGGCCGGCTTATGACAGACTTCATATGACACAAATCACATGTTATTTATATCAAAAATAATAGATCACTGTGTAACAACGGCACAAATGATAAAAAAATCGGGCGCTCCCGTAGTATGTGACCCAAGATGGCGGACACCGGAACGTAGTGTGTGTACCAAGTTAGGGTTAGGCCATAATTTTATTCCGATTTTCCTTATTTTAGTTCTATTACGAGTTCGGGGACTAACCAAGTGACCCCCGTAGTATTTGTACCTGAAATTATGGCCTAACCCTAATCTGGTACACGTACTACGTTCGGTGTCCGCCATCTTGGTTCACGTACTACGGGAGTACCAAATTTCGTATTCGATATACCGTAATTTATGTTTTAGGAACAAATAATTCAATCCGAATTCTACGGTAAAATAATAACATAAGAGTAAAGTAAGAATTGGATATATTTTGAATTCATAATTCTTTAAATTTTCAATTTTTTTTTTCTTGTTCTAAAATCTAAATAGACAACAAACTGCACATTACATGTAGGGTAGGGAAACAAGAATGGGTCTAAAGTTGAAACTATCGGATTTAAAGCTGTCACAAAATGCATTGAAGAGGTCAGACAATTTGTGCTGCGATTTTTGCGGAGGTATGATTGCGGAATACAAAAACACTAAAGGAATAGCATATAGACACCCTCAATTTACGAATGCGAACAAGTGCAATTGGATAAACGACTGAGAAATAAAACGTTTTTGCAGTTTTTAATATCTTGTTACAAGGAAAGTTAAGTTGAGCTTGGACTATATTATATATAATTTACTTCTCTAAATATATGTCATATATAAACTTGAGAAAAATCTTAGAAGTAAAACAACATAAATTGTACCTGTTTTTATTTGTCGTCGCCCTCAGAATCAAATTTTGAAACTTGTACATTAAACTATTACTATCAGATTAGCTACTACCACTGCGTTAAGCACTCATATGAATAATAGACGCATTTTATAATGCCCTTGAGTACTATTCCAAACTATAAAGAGGCATGCGCACTAGAGCCAACCCAGTACGACATTAACAATATATTATATACGTCTGATTGAAACGGTTATTTCTCTAATCCACATATAATAGCGCGCAAAATGCCACCCCGTTTGCTCCGTGGTAAATAATGCATGCCATTAGATTAATGGTAAAATGCATAAAGATTAGTAGAAAAAATAAATACCTAAGCATATTCAAATCAAGCTTGAAAAAGTTTGAATATCTATGGCCTTAGTCGATACTAACATATTTATAAGCCTCCCACTTCTTTCAATGTGGCATCGAGTCAATTGGCAATGTTTTACCCGCATAGGACTTTGTTACCTACAAAGCCAAAAGATTGGCTTAGCCTTTAAATAATGAATAATGTATGCTGTGTATCGAGATGGACTCTGATGAAAAAAATAAGGAATAAACTAAAAAAGTGACAGCTTGGACAAGAGAATCCACGCGTCTTGAATGATATAAATACGTGTTGTTTTGTTCGGGGCTGCTGATTGTTAGTTTAAGTACATTTATTTTAACGTTTCTTGGACATAGTATGATTATCGGTAAATTTACGGGTTCAAATGAGTTCAATGATTCAGACCCCATGTCGAATTGAATTAGAGAATACACAGCAGATCCTAGACTTGAAAATAACACCAAGCCCACCAGACTTAACTTGCCGAAAGAATCAAATGCAATCAATTAACTTTTTATATTATAACTTACTCGTAAACCTCATATATATACGTATGTTTCACGAGAATGTGGACACCTACGAAAGACATTGAGACTTAGTGTCAAATATGCCTCCAAATTGGATATATGATGTGTGTGATATCACCACCATCTAAAAACACACTAACTACATTTTAATAGAGAATAGACCGCGATTTATTTATTCGTGCAAAATATACGCCTAGAGCATGGTAGTTTTTCAATTCCAAATCGCACCAAAACTATCACTCATCTCGATAGTATATAATGCTTTGAATACGTGAAAATTTGCAAGGTTACAAGAGTAATTAAAAGTATAAAAGAACTATAGACTTACTTACCTTTCGGTGACTCTAAATTTTTTATTTCTCCCTACGTGAGGTGAACGTAAGGTATCCAGCCATTTCATATCTGGCATGGCCGGAATATATTTTGAAAACGGTATGATTGTTTACTGGGCTAAACTTTATTAATAGAACAATTCATGTAATTCTAGCTTATATCTGATAATAGGTAAATGAAAAGAAAAAACATGAAAAAGTATGAATTTTTTTCGAAAAATACAGAAAATTTGGTAAACCTGAAAGCAGCTATAAGAGTACCAGATTGGGTAAAACGAGTACACCAATAGTCGAACACACTCGAGTCATTTGAAGAGTTCAATTTTCACTTAATAAACCGAAAATTAACAATAATTTTTATTCTACATGATATACTAATATCAATTACAAAATCACAGAAGATGTTCAAGCATTCAGATAAATCCTGGCTGTTTTCGTCTAATTTTCGATCACATTATATTCTGCTCACTGACATTTCCGCTGCGATTAATTTATCCTATCTCTTACAAGATACAAGCAAATATTTACAAAGTAATGAATTGGG